TTGTCAAGATAATAAGAAAGGTTATTCCAACACAAACATTTAAACCAACTAACCAGTTTGCAGTATAGTGTCTAATTACCCCCCACATCTACCTATACACCATTGCCTACCAAATATATCCCAACAAACATACCCAAATAGAATATTTCAAGGTACCTATTTTGTGAATTCCTTTAATTTAGATCTTCATGCTTGAGGTTCCACACCAAACAATTTTCTTTGCTTAAGGTTTTGAAAATAATCTAATGTTATAGTTTTACAAGCCAACTCCACCTTACTTTTGCATGATTATAATGACGAAGTAAAATTGAATTTATGAAAATGTACTAAAGTTCTCAATTCAACAATCACTTATGTTCAAGGCAACCTAAAGTCACTAATCCTTTGATAACTTTATAAACACTGCTTTTGCCCAATTAATTATTTTAAATGACAATTTTATTAATCTAGAGTATTGATAGCTACAAGGTATTTTGAACCCCCTATAGCACTCTCCTGAGTTAATCATGTTATTCCTAACAAAATTATCCAAGAGACAAATTCAATTCTAACCCACTATAATATGATTATATAAGCGGTGGTGAAGTTAGGATTTTCAGTTTAGGGGGCCAGATGACAAAGCATATACAATATTTGAAGAAAAATTGCATATGTGTGTGTTGCCTAACATAAATATTTTCACATGTTCACAATCAATTTTGCAAATACATCTTTTTTTTTTCAAGTTTTGTATGTTGATTCGTGATATATAAATAATTAAGAAAAAATTAATCTTTTAGTCCTCCAACTTTTAAGTTACTTGTAACTCAGTCCCTCAACTATAACTTGTTGTGGCTTAGTCCCTCAACTATAAATCGCCTATGACTCAGTTCCTTAACTTATGAATCACTTACAAATTAGTCTCTTAACCTATGTTAATTTTTTTTCATGTTAGCTTATATCTCACATTAATAAATAAGAAGAGGGTATTTTAAAATAATATATGAGTATTTTTTTATCCCTCTTATTTGATAAAATTTTTTAAAAAAATTAAAAAATAAGGACCGAGTTATATATAAATTAAAAGTTAAGGGACTGAGTTGTAGCGAGTTATAGTTGAGGAATTAAGTCGCAGCGAGTCATAGTTGAAGTATTGAGTTACAAGTGAGTTAAAAGTTGAAGGATTAAAAGATTAATTTTTTCAATAATTAATTATATATTTGCAGTGAACTTTTCAGCAATTTTCTTTCTAATATTAAGATAATTAAATTAGTAAAAATTATTTCCTATCTTATTGTGAAGCCTTTTTTTTTCAATAATTTTTATCATTGAAAAAGCCCCTTCATTGGTTGTTGTTGACACGGTAAGAAATTAGTATAGGTCTTAATAATATATTAATCAAAGGATGAAAACTACACTTTTCAACTTCTACAAAGTTTTGACATAATAGTCAAGTTACGAAAATTAAGATTTTTGAGCACATCAAACTCATAATGCTATAATTCATATTCAAATCAAATATTTTCTTGGTTAGAAAAATATGAAAAATAAAATTTCTCAACAAGATTACCTATGTTTAGAGCATTAAATAATTTAAATGTATCTTTAGGATTTAAAGTTGTATTCAATTTAAAAAGAATTACTACTTGCTCATTTAATCTATTATTTAATTATTTTAATTAATAATATATGATAATTTGGTGAAAGTCGCATATTACACACCATTTTGATGGACGTTTATTTAAATTTAACAGTGAAGGCGAAATTGCCTAAACTTTAACTGTTTAGAGTTCATAATGTACCTTTTAAAAGTTTAGAATTCAAATCGTTCTTGAATCTATAATTCAGGGTTCAAATTATATATTAATATGAAAATATTTAAAATCATGAATGAAAAATATCTTAAGATTAATTATAAGACTGATACATAACCTCAAGCTTTTTTTTTTTTCTTTCTTTTTTGCAATCACAAGATGAATCTAAAAATGCTCGATGCATGCCAGGAATAACTCGTAATCACGACGAAGCAACTTATAAACTGTAATGATGCAATCACACCAGATATAATATAACTCAATTTGATTTTAAAAGCTTGCATTTGAACTTGCATTGTAATGGTACGTTATTAACGTCCTTGCAGGTGATGTTGAATGAACTCAACATCTTTTATCGCTTCTTATCATTCACTGAATCAAATTTATAAATACCTCGTGGATCATACAATATCACATGGGGAAAATGCTAGTTAATATTAATGATATAATAATCAGAATGTAAAGGGACTATTGAGATGAAAATTAAAAGATGTGGGCAGACCCAGCCAAAAAAAAAACAAAAAACAAAAAAACAAAGAAAAAGCCACTGCAATGATTTGATGGTTAAGTAAAACAAATTCCATTCCCTCTCACGATTCATAACGTGTCATCGAAGCCCACTAGTGGAAGCCATGCCGACAGCACAGCACCCCGTGGATGGTGTTGCAAACATTCTTTTTCCCTTCTATTTTCTAAAATATTTTTCAATGCCATCTTAAGTCTATGTGTAGATCAAAGATTATATTTCATCCATTTTAATTTACAAAACACTTTTAAAAAGGTTTTTTTAAATATAAGATACTTTAAATAAATTAAAATTTTATTAAATGTATTAATTTTAATATTAATAAATTAAAATTTTATTAAATGTTTAATTTTAATATTATCCTTTCTCTCTCTATAATTAATTTTCTTTACTTTTCTTTTTAATATATTAAATTATGAATATTATAAAAAATTTATATTTTTATTTTAAAAAAATAAAATTATTAAATATATTTAATAAAATTTATTGATATGTGAGATTGTATTTAAAAATATTTTAAAATTTAAAATGGAGGGAGTAGAAGTGAACTACCTAGACACTATAAGCAGTGTTACTTATTGAGGGACATTTAAAAAAAAAAAACGAAAACACAAAACCGTTTCCGATGTTCTGTAGCCAGCGCATGAACAAAACGATTATTACAGAGATGAGATGATTGGGCTGGGCACGGGGAGAGAGAGAGAGAGAGAGAGGATGCTTACGCTCCTTTTGTTGGATCAGACAAATTGAGGAATAAGAATGGACAGAAATGAAACATTTAGATTTTGTTATTGGATGAATAATTATGCATCATTAATTTTACGCCATGTCTTGTCCAAATTATTAGCTACCACCGCTCCCCGTAGAAAGCCTCTTGGAAAACGACACGGATATTTACACTTTCGTGAGAATAGGCCAGGCCCGATCGCACATTGTTCTCCTTTAAATACAACATACAACGTAATCTATTTATTAAATAAATTTAAGTTATGCTCAAGTATTAAATAAGTTTAAGTTATGTTTAATTTTTTAATTAAATTTATTTAGTCAAATAAATTAGATCTATTTTTTAAAAGATGACTTACGAGCCTAATAAATTGACTTATTTATGCACACATACCATGTGATACTTTTTTCATCTTAAATTATAAAATATATTTAAATTAAATCTTACATACTGATAAATTTTATTAAATATATTTAACAATTTTATTTTTTTAAAATAAAAAAATAAAATTTAAAAAATACTCATCATTTAATATATTAAAAAGAAAAGGAACATAAATTAATTATAGAGAGAGAAATGATAATATTATAATAAGTCTATTTAATGAAACTTTAATTTTTTTCAAAATGTCTTATATCTTGAAACGTTGAATCTCCCTTAAAATTATCTTACAATTTAAGATGGATGGAATATATCACACACACATTAATTTTACCATTTGATTTTTCATGAATCTGTATTTTTGTATTTTTAGGTAGGTTTTCAATCGGATTGGACTTATATATTAATTTTAGTGTTATTACTTTATTACTTATTGCATCATAGTTAGTAAGTCCTTTTAATTATTATATATTATAATTGATAAATTAAATTATACATTGTATACTAATAATCTTAAAGTACATTTGAAATATTTAAAACTAAAATACAAATCTATTTAAAATATTTACTTTTAAGTAGAGTTTTAAATAGACTTTTAGATCAAGTAATATTTTAAGTAAGCTTAAACTTATGTCGTGAAAAAAAATTTATACAAACTTTAAGTTAAATTCAGACTTTTTATTTACCATACAAATTTAAATTTATTTAACCAAAATTTAATTTAACTCGACCCATTTCCACCCCATGAGTTTCAGCTTGTAGTATTCCAAGCTCAATTGAGTATCCTATCTACAAGCCAAATTAAATTAATCTGAGTGGAATAAGAAGCATGATGTTGCGTCAGTACAATACCACACTCCGTGTACTACAATACTTTGGGTCTAGATTCAGTGCTCATTACATGATGACTTTTTTGAACTATACGTTTTATTTTTATATTTTATTTTATATTTATTAATATAAAAATTATAAATAATAATAAATTTAGATAATACAAATTTAATATGAATAATTTAATTTATTTTAATATTAAATATTTTTATAAATTAAATTATTTTTATCTACTTTAAACAATTTAAATTTTAAATTTTTGAATTGTAACTTTTTCTTAATTTTTTAAAATTTTAATTTGACAATGACCTTTATTTTTATTTTTTAATATTATATTTATTAAAATAAAAATTTATAAAATTTTTTAAAATTTAATATTAAATTCAAACTATTCAAAATATATTAGATAATTAATTAATAAAAGTTATAAAAAATTAAATATTAAATTAAATTATTTAAATTAAATAAATATTATTTAAATTAATGATAAAATATATTTATTAAAATTTTATATTTTTTCGATAAATATAAAATAAAAATATAAAAAAAATCTTAAAATTAATCTGGATGGATGGGACCAAAAACCAAGCACGTAATATTCAAAAGTAATTTCAGGTTTAAATAAGAAAAAAAAAGCTTCCTCTGGGTTAGCCGGAAATGCCACGTGTCCATCCCATGGTGAACGGTGCTTCTGAGCGGAACTTTACGCAATCCCATTATACCCGCCATCCGAGTGATCCGACTGTGTGAGGATTCGCTCTCCTTATTCTTTCCTAGTTTGTCTACTTCTCCCTACTCCGATTTCCCTCCGCATTCCTTCAAATTCTCGATTCTTCCCTGTCTCCGTCATCCCTCTCGTTCCCGGTTTTTACCTCAACACTCTTTGCGCTCGTGATCCCTCGCTCCATCTGAATTTCCCCCACCCTTTTTATGCTGACTTCCCTCCTCTTCCGCTATTTTATTACACTCCGTTTTTCTTCTTCTTCGTGCTCACCGGTTTTGATGTCCCGTGTCCGCTAGGAAAGAGGATAAAGGAACTAAATTTACGCGTTTATGCCGGTGTACCCCAGGCTCTCTCGGAGAATCAGCGCGGGCAATTTTGGGTAAATTAGGGCTTTGGGTATTTTTCTTCACATTTAGCAGCCCGGGAAGTGGTCTCTCGTTTCCATGGGTAACATTGGAAGTAGTAGCGTTAATAACAACCGCCGTAGGCACAGCGCAAGTGGGAGACGGAGTCATCCGCCTCCCCCTCCGCCGGTGACCCCACAGCCGGAAATCACGGCCAACCGATTCGTCTATCCTCCCGCTCCGCCCTATCCATCGCAATTCTCAAACACGAATCCCCCACCGTATTACCAGTACCCAGGTTTCTATCCCCCACCTCCAACGACTATGCCGGTTCCTCTGCCACCTCCGTACGATCAGCATCATCGCATGGGGTCTCATCCGCCTATGGACCCGGCATGGATGGGCGGACGTTACCCTTGTGGCCCTGCAATGCCTCCGCCCGCGCCCTACGTGGAGCATCAGAAGGCGGTTACGATCAGGAACGATGTTAATATTAAGAAGGAGACTCTGAGGATTGAGCCCGATGAGGAAAATCCGGGGCGGTTCCTTGTGGTATTCACATTTGATGCCACTGTGGCCGGGAGGTACATTTTCCTCTCATTATTTGCTGATAACATAGATAAAATGAAAAATTTGAGCTGGGCAATTCAATGTAATCATGTCAAGGGGTTGCCTGGATTGCAGAATTTAAATTGGGGCCCTGTCTTCCTTTTCACCTTTTAACTATGTGCAATTTGTTCTGCCATGAAACTATTTTGTCCTGAAAAGTTTGTTAGATGCGGAGTACCTTGATTTCTAGCTTCTTGGATAGGCTTCTGTAACTGCAAGCCTGTTTGATATGCTATGAACGATGTACTAATCGCTTAGTTAGTTATTATTATTTTTTTACCTGATTTACTTCAGGTTTAAAAATTTATTCTCTTTGCTTCTGCTACCTCCCAGTAACGCCTCTCAGATGAGCATCCAGTTTTTCACGTCCATATCCATGTGAGATTCAGGGATTTATGTCAAAAACATCCACGTGTTTCCGCGGTTCACTTTATTTTGATATCTTTCTGTTAGAAGAGAACGCCTATAAGGAAAGGAATAGTAACAGGCCTATCTCTATTAGCTAATAACGTAGACGATAGAGGCTAATAGAGATAGGAAACCACTAAGGAAGGAGCACATTTGTCATGATGATAGATAGTTTTTACTTGATGTTTTGAGCCCTGGTAACATATGCATTAAATTGAACTTAAATATAATGCATTTTCAAAGTTGATGGGTTCATGTAGGTTCTGAAGTTCTAGCCACCTGGTAGACAAGAAGCTATCGCGTTTTCATATACTGTGAAAATATGAGAGGCACAGAAATCACTTTTTTGTCTTTTGCATGTTGCATTACTCTTGCAGGATTGAGAGTGAAGCTATTTAGTGCTCAATGGTAATTAAATATTGACAAGAAGAACAAGAAGCCTTATCCCTTTACGTGGGATTGGCTATGTGGATCACATAATGGTAATTAAATATTTTTAAAAGAAAATCAGTTGTGAAGTAAACTGATATTGTAAAATTCAATCATTGTTTTGGCAGTTGAGAAATACCATTATGGGACTACACCTATAGTATCTTAGTGATATTCAGTTCCTTGGCACTACTCTCATCTATCACACTTTTAAAAGCATGGCTAAGCTGGAAGCAGAACAATCAAAAAATGGTTCCTATATGGGCTATATATATCATTTGTGGAAGCAATACCTATTGTCTCTCTACAAGTTGCAATATTGCATGGTTTGGTCTATTCTTTTTTTTCTTTTTCCTTTTTTTCTGGGGGCGGGGTTGCATGCGAAAATGGAATTGTTTATAGAACTTTAGACTTCTGATGTCAATTAACATATATAAGCAGCATTGATATCTGGGATAAGGTTGACTTACTGTATACCAACTTATCCAGTTTAATTATGCAATCGATACATTGGCACTGTTAAATATCTGAAATTAGTTGATACTGATGAGTCCTGAGGGTGGAAAGTACAGTGAGATCTGTTTTTTGTACTGATGTTTTTGCTTCCTTGTGTCTCTATGACAGCATCACCATACTTTTCTTTGCAAAAGAAGGTGATGGCTGCATTCTTACGCCGACAAAGGAAAATCTTCTAGCACCTGTAACCGTGCAATTTGAGCAAGGTCTTGGCCAGAAGTTTAGGCAGCCAGCTGGAACTGGTATTGACTTTTCGATGTTTGAGGAATCGGAATTGTTAAGAAGTGACATGGATGTTTACCCTCTAGCAGTAAAGGCAGATGCATCCTCTGGTAATCATGAAGGATCAAATGAAACTCTTACATCTGGTGGCACAAACTCTCAGGTTACTCAAGCAGTCTTTGAGAAAGGGAAAGGAGAGTTCCAAGTGAGGGTAATCAAGCAGATCTTGTGGGTGAATGGGATGAGGTATGAGTTGCAGGAGATATATGGTATTGGAAACTCAGTGGAGAATGACTTCGATGGAAATGACCCAGGGAAAGAGTGTGTCATCTGCTTATCGGAGCCTCAGGATACAACTGTTCTGCCCTGTCGACACATGGTATTTACCATTTCCCCGGTTTATTTGTTTTCTAAGATTTGATAATATGCTTAATTGCTCATCATAGTTGCCAATATGGTGAGTATTGTTCTGCAGATTTATATATGATGTTTGCTGCTGCCAAATTTCATCAGCCGTTGGGATTTATTTGTTATTTCCCACTTCAACCAGTTATAGTAGTGTGCCACTTGTCAATCTCATGCCCTGATGATTATTCACTTACTTAAAATGTACCTGTTGTGTGCATAAATCAGTTCTTTAATTGTTTTTTTCTCGTGGCAGTGCATGTGTAGCGGATGTGCGAAAGTTCTGAGGTTCCAGACAAACAGGTGCCCGATTTGCAGACAGCCAGTTGAGAGGCTTTTGGAGATAAAGATCAACAACGGGCCTGAAGAGACAACAATGTAAGCGTGTAAAGATTCCTGTACAGTACAGCCCACCGTTATAAGTGCTTCTCCTCCATCCTATTTCCATGATTTGCCCCCTGCGTCTTTTGGCTTTAACAATAATTGAAATGGAAATGATACGCGGTTTAACGCACGGGATGGTATTGCGCATGGCCTATATTATATGAGACTGCCCCCGCCATGATTGTTTGGCTTTGCTTCCAAATGTTTTCCCATGGAAATAAATAACAATTGGTGTTTTTCTTTGGGTGACTGTAGTTTGTTCCACACATATTTTGTAGTGTTTCAAGTGTTGATATCCTAGTTTGATTTAGTCATTGTTGTGCTCACTGTATCTTCGATCTTTGGCCAAAAAAAAAAAAGTATCTTCGATCGATGATAGTGAGGGCTGCGGCTGCGGCTGCGGGTGGGGGGAGGTTGTGGCCCTCCCCGCAAATTGCCTTTTTACAGACTTGGCGCACCTGAACTTGGGTTGCTTAGTTTCCCGTTTGGTAGAAATAATCTCTCATACTCTTCCAAAAAGACAAAAAACCGTGTCACTGTTGAATAAAGGTGCTGTCTGATTCTGATTTCTGTTTTCAAAAACTGTATTTTTTATTTTTTGTCTGGATAGGTTTTGAATTTCTGTCTTTAAAATTGTTTCTATTTTTTGTTTTTAAAAACAAAAAATGGAAAGATTTTAAAGTGGTGTTTTGGTTCCCCCCCCCCCTAAACTACACTACAGTTGATTATTATAAATTACTTTCAATTATAACTAACTATTATGATAGACCATCACTAATAATCCTTGACAACTTTTATCATCAGTCGTTTTTAAACTCATTGTTTTCAAATTAAATAATCAAACAAATTTTTGCTTTGTTTTGTTTTGATAAACACTTTTTAAAAGTTAACTTATAAAATAGTTTTTTTTTAAAAAAATAAAAATAAAATCAAACAAGTTCTAAATCTCCGAACTGCTGTAGCTTAGGGAACTTTAAAACAATCCTAGTCACACATTAATAAATTGGATAGATTATGGGAGTTACACAAACAATGAGGTCATCTGCAAACGCAGAAGAATGAGAAAGAGAAACGATTTCCGTTCCTTCGCGCACAGGAACTTCGGCTTCTATTCACCCATCCAAAGCGAGAAGAGGATACGATCAAACACCGATTTCATTAATAACAAACGACAACGACAATGGTTGTTTATTTAGTTTTAAGCGCCCAACCATAAAAGCACTTGGATGTTCTCAGCATCCCGCACTCACAGACAACGACCACAAAAGCAATATTATCCTTAGATATTTGGACCATGGTCCAAATACAAGTCACACGTTACAACAAACACACAAACTTCAATAATGATCAAACAGGAGAGAAGCCCTCAAAGCAGCTCAGTTTCCCCACCACTGGTGCACATAGACGCCGCTGCTCCTAAGAACCTTGTGGATATCCATGCAACTTCTCATTTCCTTCGTATTTTTATCATCCCCACTGCCTGGGCAGCCCAGGAACATCTCATCAACGAAGCATATGACTCCACTTTCAAGTATATCCGAGAGGAACTTCCGTTCAACTTCTCCTGCATTCATCTTCAGCACCACAAAGTCTGCAAACCGCACAGTTTCTTTGAACCACGCAAGGAAATCAAACTCTTCCTCTCCGACATATGGATCCACTTCTCCATCTGTGTTGAGCTTGGCCGCAACATCTCCAGCCAGTCCTGGATGATAAACAAAAGTGATACCAGGTCGTTTCACGTAGGATAACAGGATGGAAGTGTTGTAGTGAACCAAATAGACATTGAAATCTTTCTGATCGATGGGATATGACGGGAGGAACCAGTCACTGACATTTGCGTCCAGCGGCTTCCCTACCCCAATATCAATATACACCATTCGCTTTCTCGTCGAAACATCCACAAACTTGGGCAAATATGACATCCGTTCTACAAACTCTGGAGGGAGTCGTTCCTCCACGAGAGGTTCCAACAGCTCCGTGAGAGGTTTGTTAAGGGTAAGATTTGGACAGTCTGATGGAAGGTTATTACTATCAAAGGTGCTGGTATTGTCGGATCTTTTCTTGAAAACCACGAGGTTTAGTTGATTGATATGACCAACATGCACGACACTTGAAGATCTCAGCAATGACGATACCGGGGTGGCAGACCTTATCAAGTCATTTGGGTTCGAAGAACTAGCACCCACAAGCAGGGCACCTATTCCACGGGGCTTAAGAACGCGTTCCACCTCAAGCACGAGCAATGCAGGAACTGAAACCTTATCCAGGTCCCTGGAAAACACGAAATCGAATGAAGAATCTGGAAAATGAAGCTCGTACACGAATTTTTTCTGTTTGAGCGAGAAAAAGCGGTGTTTGTAAACACCGTTGACACTGGAGAATCCCAACTGTTGCATTGCCGAGGCGGCCATTAAGGCTCCTTCTCCAATACAGAGACTTTTAGCATTACAGTCCAAAAACTGTTTACCCATCAACTCCGTGACCACAGTAGCAGTCAAATTGACATCTTGCTTGCAATTCATAGAGTCAAATGAACTCCAAAAGGTGTTCAGTATCCGACTCGGAAACAGGTAGGAGCCCTGAGTCAAAGTGACGGTAGCAGAATCGGAATCCGCGACACAGTCATTATAAGTAATCGGAGCCAACGCTCCCAGATCGAAGTTTGATAGGACGCGGACCAAAGTTACGGTGGAAAGAGCAGAGGCCACTAAGAATGCTCGAAAAAGGACGCGCCTCCCCACAGACCCTTTAAAGATCTGAAATGTCAAGGTCCTGGTATCCATAATATTTCAAATTGGATACCCACGAAAGTTCGCGAGAGCAAGATCACCGAGAAGAAGCAAAATCCACAGAGGAGATTTGGAATTGTCTGAAATATCAGAGAGAATGGAAAGCCGGAACGGAGAAGGGGGAGAGGAATTAGCGAGTGCAAAACCTGGATGAAGTGTGATTGCCACCCACGAGGACACCCATCGGTTTCTGGCAGTTTAACCAGACCCTCCTCGGAACCCTCTTCGACATTGGCTCGTCCCAGCTACCTCCCATCCTGGACGGATTGTATCCTATGCCCACATTGTTCCCAGGGAAATCAACTCATTCTGACGTTCCGGCTTCGATGAAACCAAGTATTTTGTAGAAAAGAACTGTGGGAGGTGAGGAAGGAGGCAGCTTCAAGCTTTGTTAGGCTCTCCAGCTAAGTGTGAAATTGCAGGGATTGCGCAGATCTGAGAAGATATAGATTAATAGATAGATGGACAGAACCGGGCTAGTAGCAACCCATGTGAAGCGCAGTGAATGAGTGCGTACGTCCACGGTTCACCATGGTCCGAATCATGCTTACGTGGCCAGATTGTGGGGCCCTGCCTCTATTATTTCATCTTTTTCTCAGATGGCATGATCCATATTTGCTCGGTTTTTTTGGCTGGAATGGCTCAGGGTTGTGGCAGTGATTTTAATCGACTAACTGATACTCCATATGGTGGTAAGTGGTAACAGTCTAATTCTGCTTGGCAAAAAATGAGACTCTTTTTATTGGTATTTGTATTTGCCTCCAGCTAAATGCTAGCCTCATCTATGAGGGAAAAAAAAAATATATTTGCTCGGTCTTAGAAAAGTATTGTAATTTTTTTTATATTTATGGTTATTTTACCTGAATAATAAAGATTCTTGTTATTTAAATAAGTAATAGGGCGTTAGAATTCTAATTTTTGTATACCTAGTAACTTAGTTAAAAAAGATTCACAATTTATTTTTAATATCTCTATTATTAATATAACTTATTTCTTGTGTTAATTAAAAAAAATTTATTTTGAGGTAGAAGGACTTGTGGAAATGGACAAAACGGCTTGTGCGGAAGAGTCCATAATCACTCAATTTTTACAGTGACGGAGCAGGATCTAGAGCCAAGAAGCATATACTAATTTAATAAAAAATTAATATTCTTTAAAAAATAATAATTATACTTATACTAAAATTATAATAATATAAATAGATTAATTATCACTTTTTATTTTAAAAAAAAGTATATTCAACATGTTGATATGGCCTTTTATTATATAAATATGCTTTCATATTTTATTTAAATTATCAAAATATTATACATCTAAAAAAGTTTTTAAACTCACATTTTTTATTTGATTTAAGGGATATAACATATAAAGAATACAAAATTTAAGTTACAAAATTTAAACATCCCATTTATAATTTTTCCCAAGATCAAGCTACGTTTTTCCACATATGTGGGGCGGGGGTTGGGAGCCATGCAGTTAAACTGTTAAAAGCTTAAAAACTTGCGTGGTCATTCTACATTGGATAAATATTCATTTTTATCCTATTTTTTGAGAAAAACCTAATACTATAAATTATTTGATATAGCATTTTTCTTCCTAAAATAATTAAAACATAACAGTCTTCACATTAACATTAAATAATTACAAATATCATTTTGATAATCAAATTACTTTCTCTAACATTATATTAACGTCAACATTTATTATTAACACCAGGATAGAAAATATTACATTTTAACTATTTTAAAGGCAAAAATATCATACTAAATTGCTTAGAATATTGAGTCCTCCTTATATAAAATTTTAGAAACAAAAAATATGCCTTTTTTTTTAACCTGAATACAAAAATATACCCATAATCTTTCACATTCGTGTAGGTTTCATTATATTATATAACATATCAATTTAAATTTTAGCGCGTAGATAGAGCTGTGAGTCTGTGATGGAATGGAAAGATATTATTGCTTCCCCACCCCCCCACCCCCAAGAAAAAAAAAAAAAACTATCTTAACAACCCCCTTCCCCGTTGGGAATGGGGCACACAATATCCACACTACATACGTTTAATAATGTTCTTTTAAATTATTTAGAAATAGGACTCACAATTTTTTTTATTGTGTGGAATGGGATGGGATCAAGTGATGGCCGAAAAAGTAACTATATTTCAGCCCCAAAAAAAAAAAAAAACGTAAAAGAATAATGGTATCGGTGGCAGATTGTAGGAGATGGATTTGCATTGGGTCCTTGTCCAAACTTTTTAATATTAAATTAAATATGTACCAACACATTGATAATGAATAGATTTATTATAATATTAAAAATTTTTATATTAATAAATATAATGTTAAACATATTTAAAAATTAATTTAAATAAATAATAGAGATTAATTTAAACTAAAATAAAGAATGAAGATAGCTGCTGGTGGCGGACGCCTAGGAGATGGCCCGATTCTGAAATCTGGAGCTGGCATTAAATTAAATATTTAAGAATAAAGCGAAAGGGAGGCAATGCAAGTGGTAGACTGATATGCGTTGCTTTGCAAACTAGATTCCAAAATCGAAAGCATTCTTTAATCCAAAAAAGAAGAAAAGATTAACAAGCACGATCTCCGCGATCAATCCTCCCGTCTCTCATAAATACACATGACTTTCAACTACTTACACGCCCATCAGAAGAAGAACTTGAAACCTACTTAACTTATTCAAGTCACTATAAAATTAAATTATAAAAAAATAAAATATATTCTTTTATTTTTATTTATAAATTACTTCTAATATATTTTATCAAAATAAAAAAAATCTTAACATTTATTAACTTTGTTTTAAAATTTAATAAATTTTTAATTTTATCTTTATTAAATAAATATATTTTAATAATATATTTTTTCTTTTCAACATTTAATGAAGAATAAAAAAATTTATATTAAAAATTTAATAAAATAACTTATAAATGAGATAAAAAAATTTTTATGCTCAGTCTTGTAAATACAACTAAAGAGTATCTTTTAAAAGGTACTACCTTATTTTTATATATAAGAGAAAAAATTTTATCACACAATTTTAAAAAGTTAGTTAATCATAATAATTATGTCTGAAAATAAAAAATTAAATTAAAATATCATGTGTTAATCAACATAAATATACATTAATTATTTTTCATTAATGTAAATTATGAGAAATAAATTAAAAAATATGTAATAAATACTTATTAAAATATATAATTTTATTTATATAAAAAAATAAGTAAAAAATGATAGTGTTTTTTTATAAATAAAAATGAAATAATATTGAACTAGGACAACAGGATGTACAATTAGCAGCTCATCAAATAGACGTCCTGTCCCCACTCTAAGTAATATTCAAATAGGTCCAAAATGGATGGAAGGGAGGAAGACGAGGTGGTAGTGTTTCTTAATTAATTTATACTCTTTTTATTTAAAAATATAAAATATTAATTAAATTTTATTTTTTAATAAAATAATTATTTATTTTTTAATTAACTCTATCTTTTTACATTTACTCCTATTAAACACTTTACAATAAATATAAAGTCATTATCGATAGAGGCACTTTTTTAAAAAAAGGCAAAGATTATACCTCAAAAGATTAAAAATGTCTTATATTTTTAAACATTTAACTCCTCAAAAAATGTCTTATATTTTTTAACGGAGAAAGTATTATAATTTTAAATAAAATCATGCATATTAATAAATTTTATTAAGTGTATTGTATAAGCTTGTCCTTTAAAATAAAAATAAAAATTTGTAAAAATGTTCTTAGCTTAATACTCTACTCATGAAAAAATATTTAAAAAGAGAATATAATAAAAATAAAAATATCAAAAAATATTATTAATGCAATTTTATTGTTAGCAAATTAAATTTTGTCAAAAATATTTAGAAGCTGGGAGGGAGGTAACGGCTAACAAGCAGCGGACGAGTGACCAGTGCTATAAGAATAATGGAAGAGGCACCGACAGAGGGTTGAGGGGAAGCCAGCGTACGGACTGCCAGCGGTAAAAGGACCCCACACCCCACGTTGGCACATTGCATTGCGTCCCTGTCAGTCTGCCACTTCCTCACAATTTCTCCATTGCTCCCTCTGTACCTTTTACTTTTACTCTTAAAAACACTTCTTATTTTTAAAAATATAATTGATTGATTTTAACACGATTTTAAAATAAAATTTCCACATTCTAATCAATCACTCCTACCAAATATTAATGCTAATTTAAATTCTTGAGATAATCATAATTTCTAAAATTCTTTGATCTAAAGAGACAATAAATTCAATGAATTAATACTACTCTAGCTCCATTTCCCCCTTTTTTGGTGCCTCATGCTCATGGATTTCCTCAATGCTCAATTCTTCCATTCGCTACACAGCAGACTTCCCAGTGTATGTTTCATGCATCCAATGAATCTATGGACATTCAGGTAGCTACCGGCACTAAAATCCCATTTCTGTTTTCGTAGCTTTTGATCCCCATTTGGTTCATTGACACCGTTTTCTTGTACCTATATTTATGTTGGCTATACTTTGCTCATATTGGTAGAAAATAATGTGGTACTTGAAATTGGGATCTTTTGATTCCATTCTCTTCATTTTGTATCTTTTAGATATCTATGATGGAGCTGCAGTAATCTCATTTTGTCATGAAGGGTGTGGGATTAGCTGTTGTGGAACCTGATCGATGAAGCTCCACTAGCCTTAGGTACTGCAAATGATTTAGTTTTAGGGACCAAGTTTCAGAACAAATTGCCAGAGGTTATTGACTCAAGGTTTATGTCGATATTTTTGGGACAAGAACCTAGGGCCAGAGTCTCCTATTTCTGTAATTGCAACTATAGATGTATGTGTATAATATTTCCTAAATCCTAGCATAATGTGATGTATCAAAATATTTTACAGAGCTCGATTGCATTGTATGTATAATTTCACATCTCTTCAATGCCATTGTAATTAGTTTACTTGTATATATTTGGACTCAACGAGGTTATAGTTTGTGTGCACATATATGAAGCTAACTAAGCATTTTGTGCCACAGTAATCGACAGTGTGGCAATGATTCATGCAAAGTGCCACAAGATTACAGTGTTTAGTGCAAATTCATCCAAAGTGCGGTAAGTATGATGCATAGATATCCCATGGAATGTGAGCTTTTGTGAAGGTGTTTAACTTGTTTGTAAGTATATTTTTCAGGAGACTTTTTTGGACGTGCATGTTAAAAAAATTTTGAATGGTGTTCAAGTGGTTTTCAGGGAAGGTTGGTAGTGAGGATATCTTTTGCCACGGTACTTATCCTGCTGGATCTTTCTTTGTTCCCCAACACGTTATAGGAACTAATTGAGTTAGAATTTTTGGAAAAATTGTCTTCTTTCCTTTGAATCTCTATTTTGTATCTTCATATGTAGTTGAGCAAATATGACTTAAACATGGCTT